CAAATGATGTAGCTTCATACCATTTGATGTGATAAACATTGAATATATGCAGCGGTATTAATGGCAACATATTATTTAAGGTATTGTTTATGTGATGCAGTTTCTAAAATGGTCCAAAGAACGAGTTCACCCTAATTAAACAGTACTGTAAGTGCCGTATAAAATTATTTTCTGCTAAAGTAGTTTCATTTTTAACTAGGCTGCAATATTCATATTTAACATTTTATTAAATAAAACTTGCTTCCCATAATTCTAGTCATAGACTTCCTAATCAGTCTTTTCATACTTAAGATTTAACATTCTGATTCAGGATTCAAAAGTCACCAACATTTCTGGTCTAGTCAAGCTGTCACTCCACAGTAATAAAGTGTTTCCCAACCATTTCCAGAATATTACAATCTCAGTTAATTTTCTTCAACTTCAACCACACACACAAAAAGAAAGTAGATAAGAAAGGGTTCTTATCTTTCTCAAAAAAAAAAAAAAGTGAACAAGGGCTTATGCAATGACTTCCCCAAATGACAAGAACAGACTGGCCAGACTGCATTCAGGCCATCTAGATATACATCTCAGTACAACAGTGGTTTCTAGGCTGAGCTGTGAAATGCATTCGAGGGACCAGCATATCAATGACCAACCTGCTCACAAACAGATGCAGCTACTGAGTTTTACGTCAGCAGCCATGCAGCTTTTCCCAGTGCATTCTCAAGGCAGCGATGTGGATTCCCACCATCCCCCTTGATGCCTTGGTAACAAACATAGAATCGCCACGTTATTAAAGGATATTAATGTGTTAAGTGGCAATGTGTTAAGTGGACTAACACCTAAGACTCAAGACTTCAAAATACTTTGTGCTCTCTCTCAATTAAATATGGACCCTTCACCTTCAAATGCAGGGTACCTGCTATCCTGAGAAAAGCACCTCAGAATGTCAAGAACATAAAGAGTAAGAGAGGCCTTAGCCCTCATCTGATACTACCCCTTTTTGCACAGGAGAAAGCAAGTCAAGAGAATAAAATAAAAAAACTTATTAAGGTCACTTAACTGACCGATCCCCATTTCTATCCCAAGTGTGCGTCCTTTACTAAGACCTCACATTCAGTGGATTTTTAATGTTATTAAAGTATCAAATACAGTAACCTCTCTCCAAATTTAGAGAATAGTTTCCTGAAATCCTTATTTCAAGGCAATTAGCAAGTGATAGATTTAAGACTATATGGTAGAAGTGGGATAAGGGAGTCCAAGATGAGGACTGAACAATGAAACCATAAATATTTTTATGTGCACTCCAGTAGAAAAGAAGACAGTAACACACAATAAAAATAGTGGAAATTACATTGTACAAAAAATAATAATGGGTATTAAAAAGTTAGTTTTGATTTATTGCTTACCAGGAACTTGCCAGGAGCTTCCTATCACCAATTTCAATGAAAGGCATGAAACTGTTGTTGTTTTGTGCAGATAACACATATACCGAAGTGAATTTTTTCCTGAACTGGTTCCCCCATCCAAATGCCCCTTGTCTTTCTAAATCTATGAGTTCAAGAGCCTCATTCCCTTCTATCAGCCTTTGCTTCACGTATCTCAGGCATCATTAGTGTTGAGTCCTAAATTTACTCTCTCATCTCCCTTTCCCTCTCTTATGATTCCCTAGCAGAAACCATTACTCCTTTCCTGCAATCCACTTTACTTCCTCTTTTTTTTATGTGATGTTAGAAACCAATGTTACCTCCATAACTTTAATCTTTTTTTAAAAAAAATTACAGATGTCCCTTTTATCTCCCCAATGACCCATTCCACCTTGCCCCACCCCCCTCCCCAGTCCCTCTTCACACCATTGTCCGTGTCCTTGGGTTGTGCATATATGCGTATGAGTTCTTTGGTTCACTTTACTTCCTCTTTAGAGTTCCCAGCCACCAGCTCCTTCTTTTACTAATGATTCAAATTGGAAACAACTACAAATTTAACGTTCTTGCACTTTCCAGAAAAGAAAACAGAAGCAAATCTTCATAGCTTTCTAATTCTTTTGTTATGGACCAAATCACTGAAAGGAATGTGCAGGTACAGCCCATTATGAGAAAAGAAAAAAAAAAATTACAAATCAACCACAAATACACACAGAGCCCAAGGAGACTGTAAGACACATGTTTATTTTTCCCACAGGGTCACCTAACTTTCAGTCCATATGGTCAGTTGCAGTTGAGTACCTGGGAGTCCCTTCTCTCTCTACCCCCTCTGGTCTTCCTCTTTCCCCTCCTGACTTCTTTGCTCTAACTTCCCTGCTGGCCCCAGGGTCTTACTTTCTGCTAGCAGCTAGCGAAAGACCAAAACCATGGAAATCTTTGTCCCCACCTCTACCCTGGGAAAGAAAGAGAGAAATTTACTGTCACTAGAACATGATACCTCCTAGGAGCAAGCCTACGCCTTTCACTTTCTCCAAAGAAATCATTGTATAACAGACCTTTACACCTTTCCCTTCCTAATATTCATGGCCTTTCATAACAAGACTTAGATAAAGCTTAAAGATCCCCTTCTTAGTAGGGATGAAAAGGGGAAGCAATCAAGATAAACGCTTTGTATATGAGGAAATTGAAATTGTGAAACCTGATTTAACGTATAATTTTGAATTAATATGTAGCCCAACACTATGCAGTTTCTGCTCAGGATGCCCTAAAGCCTTAACCCTTTCCGTTACAAGTCATGACCTGCCTGAGGCAGCCAGAAACAATGTCCATGTCTTAACTAAGGGTCACAAGGCATGTTAAGCTAAAGATAACATCTTCCCTAAATTATGTTTCAGTTCCTGAGCCCTAAGGTGGAACAACCCCCTAGCTCCTTTCTCATGAAACCAGGCAGAGGGATTCCAGAGTAGACCTCAGAGCTGTCCTCAAGATCTGAAGAAAGGATTTATTATCAGTCAGCTCCCAACATGACCCTGAACCTCTAACCTACGCTGTCCTGTGATTTTTGCCCTGTATAATCTGTAATCTATACTTCATCGGGGAGTTCAGGTTTTTGAGCATTAGTGTGTCATTCATAATAAACTAGCCAATTTTCTTTCTCCTCTGCAATGATCGATGCTTAGTGTTTGGCTCTGCTAATGCCACCTGGACAGACTCTTTCTTTTCAATAACAATTGTAAGATACTTATTTGTGTCCAAATTCCCATCTCTTCTCACCTCAAATTTTATTCCATCTTCACTTCATATGTATTCTGCTTCATCAAGATTTCTCTTCCTAGTGCATCATTCCAATAGCTGCAAACATGCTGTTCAGTATCCATCTAGGAAAAAAAGAAGAAACATTTTTCGGCTCCCCTGCACAGCAAAGCTCCCCAGAAGTGCTGATAATATTCACTGTCTCCGATTTCCTTTCCTTTCTTTCTTTTTTTCCTTACTATTTAAAATACTTCACATTTCAGTTCCTTCCATCCCCTCCCCCACTATTTTAAATGTTCATATGATATAGGTATCATGTTGCTACTTTTAAAAATGAAGATTTTGAAGCAGAGATTTTAATTAGGACTTCAGCAACATGGTAGCCTAAACCAAGGAAGGTTCTCTTTTCAATTGCAAATACACAGACATGCTAGATAAAATAAAATAAAATAAAATAAAATAAAATATAAAATAAAATAAAATAAAATAATAAAATAAAATAAAATATCATGGCTCAAGGTAAAGAAGAGGAAACCTCTAACTGTCAGAAACTAGAAAGAAACCTGCAGACCTAGCAGTGAGTACATAGGCCAAANCATGGCCCAAGGTAAAGAAGAGGAAACCTCTAACTGTCAGAAACTAGAAAGAAACCTGCAGACCTAGCAGTGAGTACATAGGCCAAACAACCCAGGCAAAGAGGAGACCAGGAGCCAGGGCTATGCACTGGGCAGAGCTCCTTGCACCAAGACCCTCTAGAACCCTCATTCCCTCTTAACCCGCTTTAATCCAGTGTTCATGCCTAGTATATCCTTTCAGTATTTCCTCTTGGATTTTTAGTAGGCATTTAAAATGAACATGTCCAAAACTGACTCCAGATCTTCCCCCAGGAAAGCTGTTGTCCCCGTAGTCTTCACCATGATTAGTTTATTAGCTGTCCATTAATAAATGACAACTCCATTCCTCCAATTGATCAGGCCAGCAACCTTGGAACCATTCTTGACTCCTCTTGGTTTCTTATATGCCACCTGCAATGTATCATCAAATTCTGTTAGCACCACCAGCCTTTTATCACAGTATCTTTTACTATCACCCTGGTCTATAGCACAATCATCTCTTGCCTACTTTATTGCAGTCACCTCTTAAGTGTTCTCCTACTCCTTCTGTTGACCATATTTCTATCTATTCTCACAGCAGCTAGAGTACACCTGAAAAACAGGAGAGGTCATGTCCTTCTCTGCTCACAAAATTCTAGTTGTATCCCTGTCCCAGAGAGTAATTGCCAAGGTGTTTCCCATGACCCTAAGACATGGCCTGATCTGGCCCCAGCCACCTTGCCGACTTCATGTCTTACCACGCTCCTCCTCCTCCTCTCTGTTCCATCTACTTCTGCCCTTTGTTGTTTCTCAAACACTCCAGCCAGATTCCTGCCTCTGGGCAGGAATAACTGATCATGACTGATAATGATTTAATGTCACTGTCCTTGGGATATCTGCATTTGGCAAAGCTTTGGCTAAAAGGAAAAACTTCCAACTATTAAGCTATTTCAGAAGACTTTGGAGGAAGGTTTTTTGGAGGAACTAGCCCTCAATATTTCTTGAATCACATAGATTGATTAGGATATGATATGACTCAGACATTAAGATAGTCACAATTTCAAATTTTTAAAAAGTTTCATGGACTTTAGAACTAATAATCTCTCCCAGTTCTCCTTTTCCCACTATACTTTAACAGTCATAGATAATAACTTCTGCTTTTCCTTAAAGAAGTCATGCAATCAACACAGTCTTTGGGTGGAGTTTTTCAAATGCAGAAGGCTTTAGAGACAAATATTTACCTCTACAGGTAACTGGTTCTAGGATGGTCAGTGCCTAGAAACCGCTCTTCTTTGAAAGGAATTATCGCCTGATCAGGTTCTCGCTGCACTGTCTCTTTAGATTATGAAATGTGGCTCAGAGTCTTTACTGCTTTTCTTTCCTTTATAACAGGTGCTTGCTCGGGGCTGAAGGTGGTGGTGCCATCACACACCGTCCATGGCATCAGGGGTCAGGCCCTCTACCTCCCTGTACACTACGGATTCCACACTCCAGCATCAGGCATCCAGATCATATGGCTGTTTGAGAGACACCACACGATGCCCAAATACCTGCTGGGCTCTGTAAACAAGTCTGTGGTTCCCGACTTGGAATACCAACACAAGTTCACCATGAGGCCGCCCAACGCATCCCTGCTCATCAACCCACTGCAGTTCACTGACGAAGGCAACTACATCGTGAAGGTCAACATTCAGGGAAATGGAACTCTCTCAGCGAGTCAGAAGATCCAAGTCACTGTTGATGGTGAGTCCACTTTAAGTTAATAATGACTCAGATCAGACTACCCGGCTTTAGGTCCTGGCTCTCCAACTTTGGGCAAATTAATCGACCTGCAAAGCCTCAGTGTCTCGTAGCACAAATGGCATTACTTACCTCATGAGGCTTTCTGAGGATTAGATACGACATGCATGTAGAGGATATGCACAGTGCCCAGCCAAAGGTAATCAAGCAATAAATAGAACTTAGTACTTGTTTGCCTGGAGACTATCAAGTATAAAGTTGAGAACATAGTGAGATGGAGAAAATTTTATTTTCTCAGTAGCAGAATGCACACTGGGAAGAGCCCTAATTTTGTCACATGGAGATTTTTATTTATTTATTTTTAAAATTTATCTTTATTGTTGAAAGTATTACAGATGTCCCTCCCCCCAATCTTAATATCCCTTTATGCCCACTTGGATTAGCTGTCCTTGCTTATGCATTACTTTCATTAGTAGTAGTATTAAAACATCAAGAGAACTCATCTGTGAGGCAAAATCATGCATCATTTGGGTTTTCTCACTTTGTCCCTTTTTGTAATGTAAAGCCATTAATAGTATTTTTTAGACTACCCTTTCTTCAAGGTCAAGCAGAAAAGTAACTTTTCCATTTTATTTCAAACTATTCT